ACAAACTTGCAAACTTACTAATACGTAAGCGAATTTACAGAGAACTAATATGTTTAATGCATTATCGTTAAACATCAGCATTGTTAATTAACATGCTTCATGACCTTAATATAGCTCACCTTAGAATTAACGTAATAATATGAGGGCTTGTTCCCCATGCGCATACGAGCTTAATATTGCTCGCCATGACAATCGAACGCTTTAATGTTCCCATGCCACGAGCACTGCTCGCCATGATAATTGAATGAGACAATACTCCACCTCGTTAATTCGAGTTCAATATAGCTCCCCATGTTAACGAGCTCAATATAGCTCACCATGTTGACGAGTTCAATGTAACTCACCCTGTTAGCACTGCTAACGAGCTCACTGCAGCTCACCCTGTCAACACTGTTGACGAGTTCACTGTAACTCACCCTGTTAGCACTGCTAACGAGCTCACTGTAGCTTACCATGTTCACGAGTTCAATATAGCTCGATCTGTTAATGAGCTCAATACTGCTCACAATGTTAATTCGAGTACATTTTGCTCACAATTAGCTTAGTCCCTTACTTAGGTAGGTTAGAAATTCAAACCATTTATTTAAGTAGGTTTAGGGACTTTAGTAGTGTCAACTGAGTACTAGCCTAATCTGTACTCACCATTAATTACAGTTGACTATACTTATAGAGACTGATTTAATAAACTCAAATTCATGTAAAGGTGATTTTGTATTAACAAGTTTACAGTGTCAAGCCTATGAGCTACCATTTAATTAGCTCATAAGTCAGAATGACTAGGCTACTAATCTCACTGTCGACTCAGAATTTTCCTTGATTTTAATGAATAAACTTTTCAGTTCTCTACTTTCCTATTATTTTAGCTAGTTAGCAAATTAGTTGTACCATCAGTCAGAATGACTACTGCACGGCAGTGCACATTAAATTCAATTTCCTCATTTGAATTTGGGGTGATCATGATGCTGCGTGATGTTATTGTCTAGTAACCCAATAGTTACAAGTCACAGCGACCCTAGAGAGTGACCTTACTGTAGTGTCATAGTCTCCTTGATCTTGAATGACTAATAATATTTTACTGTATAATTATACAATAGTGTTATCAGTTCTTAGGAACTGATAACTTATTCTGAGTTTACCTACGATTCAGCAGCTACGTAATACACCATTACATGTCACTGCGACCCTAGTTGTTGAGTTTATTGTGAGCTTTAGAGGGTTCCTGATTACCGATAATTTAATCATTTAATGTTTCAATATTTAATACATGTTTCCACTAAGGGAAACTACAAGCCTATTATAAGTTCTCAACTAAGAGCAATTCTTTAATTATTGTGTAGGCTATAAATAACATGTTTCATTTGACATGTAAATAGCAAGACTCAAGTTCTTGTAAGTCCTTGATAAATTCGGGACGTTCGTTATGTGTGTACTAACATATTAACATACTAATGTACTAATCTTAATATCACTTCGGGATAGGTCAGTACTCCACAGTACACTACGACCCTAGAATCCTCCCCCCGGAGTTATGTTGGAAATTTCCAACACCGAATACAACACTGTTATATTCTCATTACTTATTACTAACTCTACTAATTATTGTAGTAAGTAAAATTAACACCACGTAGAATTCTCATGTACTAATAATTTCATCTGTGCAGTGGGCTAGAATTCTCACGTCATCCGACGCCAGTATTGCGTCAGATTTCCTTACAATAAACACATTATATCCAATGTATCTGAGAATTAAATTCGATTCTCTATAACCAAGGCATTCTGTATGATAATTAATTACAGATGAATTGACCTCCAACTAAAAGCCGAATAGAGCGTTGGAGTCATAGCGATTATCTAGTAATAAAAGTTAACGTCATGAGTGAATGCCATGGGGAGACATTAATTCCTCTCCCTTATACGTTTACTATCACTAAATTGGCAAATAATAATATTGTCCTCTTCTAAATAATAAACCCGTCCAGTCTTCAACATTTCAAGCGTAAATGCGAGAAATACTAATATTCATGACAATAATTTGTCTAATGAACGCGAGACGCGGCGTGGGGTGGAGAGGCACGCCAGTACACGTGGAGGGAAGCTTTGAGACAGACCTACCCGTATCGTGCTCACGAGGAGACGCCATTGCCCAGCCATCAGGGTAGACGTTAGCCATCCTCAGATGAAAGTCGCCACTGTGAGGCGTGAACAATCTTGCAGATAATATCTTCAACTGGTGATGGTGTAACATAAGGAACCTTTTTAATCTGGTTCTTGACTACACGTGACCGGCCAGTGAAGCGCGCCATTATCCAGGATAAGCTGAAGCCGGAGCCTGGGACGCGAATTTCGGCAATCTTAAAACTTATACAGTGCCCATATTAGCTAAGTATCTTCTCTTTATTTGATGCATCCGGTAAAGTGTAGGGTAGTAGCTGGGTGATTGACCGTGACGACGCATGTTAACACCAAACCACAGGTTATTAATTATTTATCACCTGTAACTCGTAATTTCTTGAATATAGAGATTCAGTAGTTTAATTAGTTGCTACTGTAAATATTTGTCTTGCAGCACGTGAGAAGAATTCTCCCTGCCGCCTTCTCCCATGTTAATCCATCGCATTCGTCAGCCAGCCGAGCCCAGGGAATTAGAGGAAACGTCGTGGCTTACATAAAGGAATCGTCTTTAAGCTAAGATTTCTTTGTATTTATTCATGAAATTTCTGAAATTACTTACATGCAGAATTCCTTTGGATTAACATGTGTTTATTGTGACTATCATTACTATACTTATAATCTATGTTCCCATTCATGGTAATGACATTAGTTTCACTATAATTCATAGGATTGGATTATTATAATTTGGATTAGTGAACGAACCACACTAGTTCCTGGACGTACTGACTTCCAGTAATAACCCCCCAATGTAGGTGTTTGAGGGTTTGATTCATTTAATTATACAGCCCATTAATTATTTTTATGATCATATTCTCTAGTATTTTATCCATAGTTACTGGTTCATCTAGGAATTATCTAATGATCAGAAATTCTCAGTTTCCCTCTTTACTATAAAAGCGGGTGGTCCTTCGTAATTTTGTTTACTACATTAATATTTAAATAATCAGATTCAAACCCCAAATGTCCCACACGTAGTAGTGAGGGCGGCGGGCGCCTCGAGGTACTGAGGTACTGGGGTACTGGGGTACACGCTCGTGGCGGCTGGCGGCGGCTGTGGTACCATGCAGGTACACTTGTGGTAAAGTCACACACAGGTTACTTAGGCGGCGGCACTGCCTTAGTTCACTCTAAGTCATTCACAACGATCTTTGTCACCAGGGGTTACCTGATACCAGTCTGTTTCGCTCTGGAGATTTGTCACTTTAGGCTTCTGAATAATATATTCACACTCGTGATTCTGGGCGAGTGTATAGTATATTCTTCAGATGCTGAGATAACTTGACGGTGAGAAAGAAACGGTGTTCAGTCTATTGGCCGGTAGAACAGAACACGTTCTCTAGGTTTGGTGTCCCTCACTTGAATGGTTTTTGAAGGGGTGCCGGGCATCTCGTGGCACACAACACAAAAAGAGTTACAATTTGACCAATAGCATTGCAGCAATTGGGCGGGAACCAATCATAATGACCGTTCGATGAGCAGTAGCAGGAGTGACGTCATGAACACGTCACGACCACGTCATAGCTATTATTTGCCGTCGCGCCGGTTGACCCCAGAGGTCAGACGGTCTGGCGTCTACCCTGTCTCTCACGCGGGCACCAGCCGTGTACTCACTGACCCTTTGGTGGCAAGTATGCTTAACTCCCTGTATCTACTTCCTGCCTGGACATACGGCGGCCTCCGTATTATGAAAGTGTTCCTGGTTAAGTGGGCATTCTGGAGATACCCAACATGCCAGGTCACTATCCAGGGTTAACAGAAATAGGACCTTGTGCACAAGATTGGTGCACTGAGCACAGCAATGAGCCATTCAAGTCAGCTGTGGGAGAATCTTGAGAGACACTCTCTCACAAGGACCCTAGATTTGCAGAGCATTTCTACTTTGCTTAATTTGCACTTTTTGTAATGCAGTACAGTATTAAAAAGATATTTGTTTCTCGTATGGTGCCCATGGGGTTCTGTCTGTTAGAGCCCTCTAAGAAGCACTTAAGGTAGTGATGAGCATTGTTGCAGTTCAAAACTTAATAAATATATATTACACTTTAGATGATGTGCAACGACTTAAAATTAACCTTATTGAAAGATTGCCGAGAGCTGTCTGGGATTGGAGTTCATTATTGATCTAATTGCCGATTGATATTGAGTAATTAGGACGTCAAAGGTGATTTTGGGTTGTAGAACCCCAGGCCCAGCTACCCTAAGTTATAGGTAGATGAGATATGTACCTCATCTACCCATAAGGATTTGGGTAGATGAGCGAATCATCTAGATGAGTGTTATTGGGGCAGGGCAAGGTACATAATATCTTATTTTAGAGAAAAGAATGCTTATGGTCTTAAAAACTTTTGTTATATTTCATATGTGGCAATGGGATTTCAGCTTGATATCATTTTGAACTCCAACGAATTTTCCATCTTCTCTATTCTTAATTTGGGTATTGTTAATTTGATTGGTGGACCTATGACTAGGTCCACCATATGGTCAACAATATGAAGAACATTTTACCAATGTTAACGGTGAGTTTGTTAACAGCCACAGATGGACTTTCTTTAGTTCAGCATTCACTATCATTTAGAGTAAGTGGGTTAATAAATCTAATATATGAGGAGATTAATGATCAAGTAAGTAAGTAATTATCAAAAGAAGGCACCAAGCCAGGAAGGCTATGTAGATCAATGATCAAATGCATCTTAACTTCTGCCAGAATAAAATTACATACTCCGCTGATTCTCTAGATGTTATGATGATTCGATGGCTACCAGAAATAAACCTCACAGGCTTTCATAATGATGAAAAATAAACATGTCTAATACAGTTAAAATAGGCCTTACCTCTTCTTTTTGGTAAGGAAAGGTCTGCCACTGCCAAGCCAGACGATTGAGCAGTGCTCTGTGAGACAATCTGACCCCCTTGGGAATACCACTAGAGCCTGAAGTGTAAAATATTGCTGCAATAGAGGACCCAGTGAGAGCCACACCAACCTCTTGAGCTGTCAGGTCATCACCTCTTTCCAAGTCGATCTATGATGGAAAAGTTATTTCTTCAAACATTTTTGCAATAATATAAATAATAATAATTTATTAATACACTATACATAATAACATATTATAGTGGTTCCTCTGTAAGAACAGAGGTTGCACATTAAATAAAACCACTAATACACAAAATGTTTAGGCCATAATTATTAAATAATTGTTAAATAATTTATAGAGTCACAGGGAAAACACACAATACTAAATAAGAAGTAACCTCTTAATTATTATAATTTACTAAAACGGCTGCAGTTGATGAATTCAAGCGACCCCCAGGTATTAACCACCTGGTTGACCAGACGACCAACCGGGCCGCGAAGCCGTTAATCCTCGGAAGCTACACAAGGTAGAGGAAGCTAAACATACAAGCTAAGGTAGCCAGTCACTTACAAATACTGTACAGATTCTAAATCTTTATTTACAATAACTAACTAACAATCTATTTGATATACGGTAATTGACTCACAAAAAATTTATTTTAGCTCATTATTTTATGTGATTGGGTTTTCACCTAGTACAGTACACAAAATTTTCCTTTATCAAGGGTTCCAATACTGATTTTATTTTTTTTACTTTTCATCACTATTAATTTCTTACCATTAATGACTAATGGTAGCTAACTATTATTTCTACAATACTGTACTTATGAATAACATAGCTAATACTTATGGTAGCTGACTACTATTTGTATACTGTATCTATGATTTATTTATTTGTAGATTATTTATTTTTTATATACAAGAAGGTACATTGGGTTCATGAGAGTACAGAGACTTGAAGTTTACATTCTTGTAAAGCCACTAGCACGCATAGCGTTTCGGGCAGATCTTTAATCTAACATAATTTAATTTAACAGAATTAATGGCATTACCTCTGCCTGTAGGTCCTCAAGGTGAAGAATTGGCACATTGTTCTTCAGCTGTGGGCTGGTGTGGTCAGTGTGGATGGCTGGAGGGTGACCATGGGCAAGCAGTAGAGCAGGCTTCGAGTCCTTCAGTATATGGGTCACACGGGCCTCGGGAAACATCACTTCGAGAGGCAGATATGCTGCTCCTGCCTTGTCATAGGTTAAATTTTAAGCAGATTAGATATCTTATTAATTTGGTGACTGCATTATTTTTTATTTGTATTAATGAGGTACAATTTGAGCGCATAGTAATTATAAGATACTGCTCGGGTAATGAAGGGCACATTTTCAATACCCACTATTAATGTGTACTTCACTATATTCATCACTTCACTATACTTCATCAGTTTATTCATTATATTCATCACTGTATCCATCTTCAAGTATGTTTATTGAGACAATAAGGATACAGTACATCTCAAAATGATTGAGTAGCTTAGGATATTTCTACCTTCCAATAACCATCATAACTTCACACACACATCCTTCAACACTGTAATCATCTACACTATACATGACCATCCTCAACACTGTAATCATCTACACTATACATGACCATCCTCAACACTGTAATCATCTACACTATATAAGACCATCCTCAACACTGTAATCATCTACACTATACAAGACCATCCTCAACACTGTAATCATCTACACTATACAAGACCATCCTCAACACTGTAATCATCTACACTATACAAGACCATCCTCAACACTGTAATCATCTACACTATACATGACCATCCTCAACACTGTAATCATCTACACTATACATGACCATCCTCAACACTGTCATCATCTACACTATACAAGACCATCCTCAACACTGTAATCATCTACACTATACAAGACCATCCTCAACACTGTAATCATCTACACTATACAAGACCATCCTCAACACTGTAATCATCTACACTATACATGACCATCCTCAACACTGTAATCATCTACACTATACAAGACCATCCTCAACACTGTAATCATCTACACTATACAAGACCATCCTCAACACTGTAATCATCTACACTATATAAGACCATCCTCAACACTGTAATCATCTACACTATATAAGACCATCCTCAACACTGTAATCATCTACACTATACAAGACCATCCTCAACACTGTAATCATCTACACTATACATGACCATCCTCAACACTGTATCCATCTTCATACTGTTTTCATTATTATAATCATCTTCACTACCCACATACCCCCTCTACAGCCAGCGTCAGTATTTAGCTCTTCTTTACCACCTTCCCTTTCCTTCACCCCCTTCCTTACCCTTCACCACCTTCCTTACCCTTCACCCCCTTCCTTACCCTTCACCCCCTTCCTTACCCTTCACCACCTTCCTTACCCTTCACCCCCCTTCCTTACCCTTCACCCCCTTCCTTACCCTTCACCCCCTTCCTTACCCTTCACCCCCTTCCTTACCCTTCACCCCCTTCCTTACCCTTCACCACCTTCCTTACCCTTCACCCCCCTTCCTTACCCTTCACCCCCTTCCTTACCCTTCACCCCCTTCCTTACCCTTCACCACCTTCCTTACCCTTCACCCCCCTTCCTTACCCTTCACCCCCTTCCTTACCCTTCACCCCCTTCCTTACCCTTCACCCCCTTCCTTACCCTTCACCCCCTTCCTTACCCTTCACCACCTTCCTTACCCTTCACCCCCTTCCTTACCCTTCACCCCCTTCCTTACCCTTCACCCCCTTCCTTACCCTTCACCACCTTCCTTACCCTTCACCCCCCTTCCTTACCCTTCACCCCCTTCCTTACCCTTCACCACCTTCCTTACCCTTCACCCCCCTTCCTTACCCTTCACCCCCTTCCTTACCCTTCACCCCTTCCTTCCTTACCCTTCACCCCCCCCCTTCCTTACCCTTCACCCCCTTCCTTACCCTTCACCCCCTTCCTTACCCTTCACCCCACCCCCTTCCTTACCCTTCACCACCTTCCTTACCCTTCACCACCTTCCTTACCCTTCACCCCCTTCCTTACCCTTCACCCCCTTCCTTACCCTTCACCCCCTTCCTTACCCTTCACCACCTTCCTTACCCTTCACCCCCTTCCTTACCCTTCACCCCCTTCCTTACCCTTCACCCCCTTCCTTACCCTTCACCACCTTCCTTACCCTTCACTACCTTCCTTACCCTTCACCATATACCTTTACCCTTCACCACAACCTTTACTCTTCACCAATTTCCCTTCATCACTGCAATCATCTTCACAACACACACACAACAAACGTAGTTTTTTGTCACAGGAGTGTATACAAACGCAGTGATTAAGTGTATAATGATCTCCTACCGCGGTAGAGCAATTAAGAAAGCAAAAATAAGGTCGAGTGGCAAGATCAATGTGTACCGTTGGGTCAACCTAGCCAGGACCTACGATTTGCTTGCTGAGTATTGTGTTGTGAAGCGGATTGTAGCATTGTAGTGATTGACCCCCCAAAGTGTGTGCACCGTTTAGGATCGTATACAAAGTTGCACATAGTGGCTGACGACCAGTGAGGAAGATAGGAACGAATTGTATACTAGGAGCACGTGGAGACAACCAGGAGCACGTGGAGACAACCAGGAGCACGTGGAGACAACCAGGAGCACGTGGAGACAACATTGATACCAAGGCAGAGGAGAGGACAGGCGACCAACCCCGTCATAAGTACATCTCCTCAAACTCACCTAGGCGTGCTTGCTCTGGGTGAGCTGACGGTAGGTACCCCTCTCTAGGTCATCAATAAGGTGTACAGAGTGACTTAAAATAAATAAGTTAAAATCAGGGAAGAGTCATCAAGTTTTTTTGGATCCCCTCCCATGTTGGAATATGTGGGAATGAACGAGCAGATGTGCTGGCTGCTGAAGGCACTGCAGGAGATCATATTGAATACTTCATACCCAAGACTCTACTACAAATTAGAGGTATTGTCAGGCAAAATCACCGTGACAAGGTAACTGAGGAAAGGTGGATAGAAGCACAAACCATTGAATCTGTACGATGGTACAACATGGATGCCGCTGGCAATCCCAATCATTATGGCCGAAGATGAGGAGGACGAGGGAGAGAATCAGTAATAGCGAGAATCCGTCTTGGATACAAATATCCATGGAGATATGGAATGGAAACAACATTTGATCAACGAAGTTGCAGAATCTGTGGTGAGAGTGATGGACACCGCCTTGACCACTATCTACGTGAATGTGAACACCTGAGACATCAGAAGTATGTGTAGAATAATACACCACACATTGTTTGAGTTAGGAAAACACTTTTTGTCAAATATTGATACTGTTCTTAAAAAATTTCCCTATTTTGCACCCGCAAGATAACGTAAACTTTTACGGGTTGACAGATGTTAATCTTCTTGTTTGAGGAGCTGTTCACCTGAGACAGTTAAGCAAGTCCCAGCTGTGTCTGGGTACAAGTGACAGGATGAACCACCCAGAGGGTTTTCTTCCTATTGGGGAGAGTTGTACATGCTGCTATGGCGGTATGTCCACTCACAAGTTGAATGGCGTTGCCCAATAAACTCTCCCCTCGGGGCAAAATTTAAATTTAATTTAAGTAGGGCTAAATATCTCACATATACAACTCCTTGTGGCTCACTCTGGTTCAGGGTTTGACATTGACATGCTACCCCTGGTGACCGCTCACCCATCCCCCCAACTTCCCACGCCTCACACTGTCCCAAGACACCCCCTTCCCCACCCCCTATACACAAACACCCCCCGCACTCACAAACACACACACACACACACACACACACACACACACACACACACACACACACACACACACACACACACACACACACACACACACACACACACACACACACACACACACACACACACACACACACACACACACACACACACACACACACACACACACACACACACACACACACACACACACACACACACACACGGCTACGGTGGTAGCCATGAGCCGGTAGGGGACACACACACACGATTAGTGAGGTCCGCGGAAATTCGTCAATTTCTCGTGACAATAAAGGAGTATATCACTAGCGATAGTGCGAAGAAACCAAAGTGGAGCTAGTGGCATCACCAGTGCATATAAGTGTGGAGGACTGCGTGGAGCAACCTGACTCTACGGCCAGGTGGGACGACCCGCTGTGGAACTGCCTGATTGTGTTTGTTGGCTGGTGTCTGTGATCAGTGGTACAGTAAATTAGTGAACTGTCACACAACGATACAGTGACTGACTCCAGAGCTTTGTGTAGACAGAGAAGAACCGACCTCATCAATCTACTAGCACTTAGTGAATCACTTATTGGGAGACCACGACGGATAACCATCGTCATCATACATCGTCCTTACTCATCTAGTTGTGTGAGCGGAAAAGCAGACTGGTATGTACCCCCTCTCTGGTCAATTAATCAGGTGTACAGATTGAGGTAAAATATTATCAAATTCTTGTTCAGGATATCATATATATTTAAAAATCTCAAAGTGGCTCATTTTGGTAGAGGTAACACTTAAGGGAACTCGTGGCACACGCACGCACGCCCGCCCACGTACGTATGCATGCACACAAGCGTGCACATGCTAAAACACACACACACACACACAGACACACATACTCAAGGCGGTGTCCAGAAGAGTAAGGGGAGACATGATCACAACCTACAAAATACTCAGAGGAATCGACCGGGTAAACAAGGATAAACTATTCAACACTGGTGGGACGCGAACAAGGGGACACAGGTGGAAACTGAGTACCCACATGAACTACAGAGACGATAGAAGGAACTTTTTCAGTGTCAGAGTAGTTAACGGATGGAATGCACTAGACAGTGATGTGGTGGAGGCTGACTCCATACACAGTTTTAAATGTAGATATGATAGAGCCCAGTAGGCTCAGGAATCTGTACACCAGTTGATTGACAGTTGAGAGGCGGGACCAAAGAGCCAAAGCTCAGCCCCCACAAGCACAAATAGGTGAGTACTAATAGGTGAGTACACACACACACACACACACACACACACACACACACACACACACAAACATTTAGTCAGGGGAAAAAGTATTAACACCTGGGAACAGGGGATAGGACATTACTATACCCCACCCCCCCTCTTATAACCCCACCTGACCTGATCTGACTTGGTCGCCA